ATTTATTAGAATAAAATATAAATATATTATTTTACAATTTAGATGGTATTAAATTTGAAAAAAAAAAGTTAATTTGATAATGAGGGGTGATTTTCGAAAAAAATCATTTTGACTGAGATATAAGTTAAGAAGAAGTTACCTATACACTAAATATACTTGTAAAATCACTTTATTTATTAAATTTATATAAATTTTGATAACATATGGAATTATGCCAAATTAGTGAAATAACCAAAATCTTGATTCAAGAGAAAATAATACAAAAATAAATTCAATTTAATCGAAATTAAATTTTGATTTAATACAAAAATTTTAATGAATATAACCTCAACACAATAATATTCAAAAATACGGTTTTTAAAAATTATTAAATCCAAGACGATTCTTAATAGCTTATATATAACTAGGGCTGGGATTTCGATACACATTRCATTGCTTTCCAAAGTTTACTGTGAGATGCTCGTCTAGTTATAAATTTATTTTATGTACCTACTTATGAATGAGAATATGAAAGTTTATTTTGAATTTTTTAGGATATTTAGTTTTTAGGTCATTTTCTAAACCAAATATGAATTTGAAATTTTATTTCAAGATCTTTACATCAACATGGTTTTTACCTATATAAATATAACAGATTGAAAGTAGGTAGGTACTTGTAATTCGTATTATATTATCGGACAAGATTTGAGTAACCACTACCCGCATTGCCARTTAAATAATCTTAAACCGATAAAATCGACGTCCGATAATATCGATCGACGTTCAGCACGAGTTTTGTCGTTTCAAACACCGTTTTATTACTTTAGTTAATTTTTTGAAGGGCATTTTTTGGGGTTTTTTAGGGCATTGAAATCCCAGTCTTACTTATAACATACATTCATACATATATATTAGATTATCACTATGATTGTCGTTTCTAAACCCTATAAAAACTACTGATATTGTGGATTACTTACATGATATATAACTATATAAGTATATACCTAAGCATCCGATTAAAAATTAACAGTGATAGAATTTTGTAAGTTTGCATCCACTATAATATAATAGGTGTGTTCGGTGTCGGCGACGCAATTTATTATTTGTGTATATTTTATAAGTATGTTAGCAACACTGTCTCTGTATATATATTCATCATGTTTTTGTTTTATATTTTTTTTTTGATAATATTATGTAAGATAAGAGAGAGAGTCGTTGTCGTTGTAAGCGAACCGACAATCGTCGTGCGAGTGCCGAATATGTAAAACAAAATTATCAAMCATTAAAAGTTACGTTTTTTACAGTCCACGAGTGAGAATAATTATTTATAATCCTGAATTTCCGAACAAGGTGACAGGTGTGAATATTATTCATGACTATGTAATTAGGATGGCCAACCTTACCACAACCAAATCGGGACAAATGGTCCCTCCGTTCTATACATATTATCCAAATATTTACAATGGATATAGCGGCAGCACTAAATTTTTAGCTATCCGTCATCGTTCACCGAGATGAGCCATCGAGCCTTCACCTTTCAATCTTCTTTGAAGATCAGCACAAGATCTCCGATAGTAAAGTAAAACCGTAAACGTTATTTCCTTTAGCTAACCTGATACTTATAATCTTGAAAAATAAAATTATTAAAGAATGTAATGTATGTTGTGGCAGAAATAAAATTATAATATTTAGAAATTATTTTTTTTCTGTTTATAAAATTTAATTATCGAAAATTATTGAAGTAGATACCTACCTATATAAATAAAATTATATTTTATCGTTAATAAATTATTATCATCATATAGTTCATAGTTTCAAATAACATAATGGCTAAAATTGAAATTCAATATCTTCTAAAAATATACCATCAATTTATACACTTTGTTATTATTATTTTTGTTCTTACAGAAATTTTAGAAAAGATAGTGATACAACAATTGTATAGATGTAATATTATATCTTTGAGACTATAGGTAGAAACAATTCAGATAATGTATTATTTTGCTTTAGAAATTTTGACATAGGTAGAAAAAATTCATAAGTCTATGAATGAAGTGCATAATAAGCATCTATGGTTTATATTGTTCAGTATAACGTTAATTGAAAATGTAAAAGAACACAWTCATTTTAAGATATWTATATTTTTTATTTTTTAGCTTCTGACTATAACAGTCTAAAAAGGAATACGATTTTACAATGATGTATGTTTTATTTAATATTTGTCATTGCCTATAAAATGTTTAAAATCATCTGTTTAACATAATATTAWTAGTTAATAAACTTTCGGAATCTTCCATTGCATTAATTAATCAAAACTCAAACCTTATCTTCACTCCAATCAAATCTATTTTCACATTCGATCTACTCAACAAGATATAAAAACATCCCTATTGTCTCAACTAGCTAGTATTTAAGTAATTAAGTAAGTACTTACTTTTCTAGCCTTACTTATTATCATTTGTGAATCGTATTCTATTATAATTTAACTACCTACCTTTTATTTAAAGAGCGAAGTAATTCAAATGCTTTTTGAAGAAACTAGTCTTAAAATTTAACCCTGATTTAAATATTGACTAGTTATTTATTATGTACACGGTAAAACTAAATCACTTTCAGAATCTTCTTGTCCTATTAAKTATTGTGGACTTTTTTCTTTACTGAATACAGTTTAACAACATTTTTATTTTTTAKAATAATTATACAATCTATACTTCTTAGCATATTGAGTATAAGTGATAAGAGACAGAAAACAAAAGACRCATAGTATTCGTGATTAAGAAGTCACCCACTAGAGACTCTTTGCGTGATGGGAGTTTAACAACATAAAATCTAATTGTTTGACTGTTAGTTAAATAACATTTTCAAAAAAGTTTATCTTTTAGCTTTTTACAATAATAAAGAGTGGTTTTACAATAGTTCACAACTAAAACTAAACAGTTAATTTGTATTACCACTGAACACACTCCGTGTGGTGTCAAATATGGATGGATTTAAAAATAACATCGTTAAATATACTTCTGAGCCCCCAAAAGTTATAATTTAAATAATTAGGTACATATTAAAAATATGAAATGGTAGGTGTGCATTGARCTGCATGCGTGAAGATTTACCGTATAATAGACTGTATGAGTAATTTTTTTTTTACGAATAACACCAGAATCAAGCTGGTTTATTATTATTATATAATGTTTAAACTTTTATTGAATCTAACGATTATTCTATATACATCTAAATTTATACTTTACCGGCAGGTATAGATATTTTTGATTCTCGTCGAGTGTCAAAACGAAATACTGTAGGCTGCGTTTGATTCGTACTTTGCCCAACTACTGCGCCAGMAGATCCTCGTTTCTGCCTGAGTCCCGTGTCCCTGTTCCACAGTTTGTCATCGGTGATACGGCTCCTATCACCTACTTTCAGTGCAGCTGCAGCCTAAAAATATTGATATATTTATTATTCTATATGATGATAGACGATAGTCCGATAAGTTCCATGCATACATAGTATATATWTTTTTTTTCTAGTGAAAACCTCGGGAGATCAGTGATCAGTGGTCACCCATCTGGGAACTAGCAACTGCGGCCGGTACGTACGCTCATTGTGTTTCCGTAGATTGAGCGTACGACCACACCTCACCAAGCCACATTCGCAGTATATTATGTATTAAACGATCGTCAATTATTTTAGATTTAAGTAAATTATCGTTGTTTGTATTGATACTGTGTAGATACCATGAAAAATTTGACTTTTAAAATRTATTAATTGTATATAATATTTAGGATATGGCCGAAATACAAACCTATATTGAAATAAAGTGCAATATAAACCAAAAGATAATATTTTATCGTCAAACTTAACATGATTAATATTTTTAGACTGTTGCTTTTATAAAAATAAAAGTCAATTAATAATACAGTGTTTGATGTTATTAAATAATAATACACACTTTAAAGAAACTTAAAAAAAAAAAAAATGAAGACCTTACATTTATAATGAAAGTTACTATTTTAAATAATTACCTATTATAAAACAGTATAAACAAGAATTATGCAAAAAATTCTGCCTTTTTCTTGAATTTTCAAGTTTTTTTTTAATTTATTTATATATTTTCGTCTCTGGATGTCAAGAAAAACAAATCATTTTTAAATACGTGTTCATCATACATTTGGTAAAAACAAATATTGCACAGAAAACAATAATTATTGTTAACATAAAAKTACTTATGTACATAACATTATAAAAATTGTATAAAATCTGTTTTTATATTTAAAGTAATGTAGTCAATTATTGTTATTTTGTATTGTTGATAATATAAGATATTTGTTTTTACTTATTTTTGTTATAAATAATTTTATTCATTTGAGTAATCGATACTCAGATGTTTTTTGTACATTATTTTTCCTGAGCTAGGTATTGTGTCTATAACACAACGATTGGGTAATTAATGTGTATGCTGGCAGTTTTTTTACGTGCACGTTATGGGTATACTTGTGGCTATTGACCAAAAAAATAAAAGGTACCAGGCTTATTGTTTGGTATCCACCCTAATTAGTTATGTTATTTTCATGAATATTAAAGAACTTTTATAATACTATGGATGATGGATATACAATTATGGGAGATATATAAAATAGCAGAGGTATTTAAAAATAATATTACAGTGAATTACAGAAAGCAGAACCACGAAAGTGTCGGTAAAAAGTTGATGTAATCTTAACAACTTCAACTTCAACTCTAGTAAAAAGTATTTATTATTGATATTAAATTAATTAATTAATATATATTTTCTTTTATGATTGACAAAGAAAACCTAAAGGCTAAAGCCGCGTCCACACCTGAGCACGCACAGACCGAGCATGTGAGCTCACGTCGATTCGACCGACTCGGCTCGCATTCGCTGTGCATCAAAATCATGCAAATTTGTAGAACGCACAACATGAGCGCAAATGCTCGGTATGTGCGTACTCAGGTGTGGACGCGGCTTAATGTTGTGATTATACCTATTTTATTTTATTTATAGTTTTTACCACATACAACTTATAACAACTTCTTGATAATGTTATTATTATATGCAGATTTAAATTTTAGATACTGAGCAGAGTATTCCTATTATACGTTAGAACTTCTGCAAAGATAGAAAAATACTGGGACTAGCAATTTTGGAGGTGGTTTCTGGTAGACTTTTATAACTTGGTAGAACATGGTACTTACTACTTTCATAAGTTCAGAATAAAAAAAAAATGCACAATACTTTTCTTATTAACTATAGAAAACAAAACTAACCAAAATAAAATTATGAAATAAATTAATCTATTTTCGTGTTATAACTCAAAAATTATATATTTCATAGGTATATAAAATTTCAATAATATTCCAAAGTTTCCGTAAGATTTTATCCTAACAATTATAAAAAAGCGGTTAAGTGGATGTCACTCTGCTGTACATTAGAGGGTGGAGGGACTTCTGAYTAGGGTAGGTTAGATTTGAATGCAATGATAGGTATCATTGTATACGAAAAACGATTCTGAACGGAGATGATTTGTCAGCCTAGGATATATTGTATTTAAATATTGTCATAATATATTCTATTTTGAAACAAAAATTTTATTTTTCAATTAGGACGCATTTTGCATAGGGCATGGTTAATCAGTTTTTCCAAAAACATTGCATGTAGTTATCATAATTCATA